CTCTAGTTCAGTTTCCTGCCACATCTTTATACATTTGAAATTCCCAAGTCTTGATCATTTTCCTTCCATTTTTCTCTGTTCTAGTAATCACCACTTATTTTCTCACTTGAGTTGCTTGTGTGTTAAAGATCATTAAAAATTTCCTAAGTCATCTTGATGCTGTCGTACAAATGAATATGCTGTTTTCAGAGCGGTTCCTCCTACACACTCCTTTCAGAGCACCTGTAACTCAGTGCTAACTCCTATTTTCCAGCAAAGGTTGTGGCATCTTGACTGGAAACTCATAGACAGAAATGAGTCGCAGCCTCAATGAAGTAAAACCTTTGTGTTTGAGGGAGCAACTCACACATAGTTTTCTGCAGTGCTCTGCGTTAACTGTGTGCACACACACATGCCTACAGTTTCCAAAGTAAGATCATATATGGTGATATGGTGTCTTTGCATCACATACATATATATATATATATATATATATATATATATATATATATATGTTATGTGTATTATATTACTTTTTTATTTAAAGATTTTTTAAATTCTGCAGTGCTTTAAAATTTTTAAGAGTTTCATACACATGATTTTACATACTCTCATAATAACTTGATTTTCCCCAGCCCTATACTGCCTTTCCCCATTTCCCTCTTCCCACAGGCAGCCATAGCTTGGTTTCCATATCTGTGAGTTTGCTTCTTTTTTGTTTAATTCACAAGTTTGTTATATTTTTGATATTCCACATACATGTGATATCATACAACATTTGTGTGTTTTCTCTTTCTGCATTATTTCAGTAGTTTAATGCCCTCCAAGTGAACCCATGTCCTCACAAACAGCAAAATTGTATTCATATACAATAAGTCCTTTACATATGAACCTTCAAGCTGTGAATTTTCAAAAATGTGAATGTGTTGTTCACATGTCGAATCACATGTTAGTTCTCATGACTGGTGTACATTATGTGTATGCATCCTCTACAAGTGGTTGTGCTTTTGGTATTCTACTGAGCAGTATCTTTATTTCAAAGATATCCAGAGGCAAGTGTAAAAGCAGTGCTGATTTTGAAGGACACTTCAGATCCTCTCTATAGATTTCCACTTACCTACACTGGTTTGGTGAATGGAAATACATGACATGATGAAAAAGATCACTGCAGGTGCCTCATCATCGATAGAAATGTCCTTTTCTGCTCTGTGTGGTTGATACCCATTTCCATCTCAATCAGACATGCTGCTTAGCCATGTCAAAGGGGAGGAGGGATCAACAGTTCTCTCACTATTCTGCTGTGCCTGGGTGACCCTAATTCTCAAAAAAGGGATAGAGAAGCATGTTTAAGCTGCATTTTCATATCCAGTTTTATCTGCAATAATGCTGGTATTTTAGCTGGTAAAGAATCCACCTGCAATGCAGGGGACCCTGGTTCAATTCCTGGGTCAGGAAGTTCCCCTGCGGAAGTGATAGCCTAACCGCTCTAGTGTTCTTGGGCTTCCCTGGTGACTCAGACAGTAAAGAATCTGCCTGCAGTGCAAAGGCCTGGGTACAATCCCTGGGTGGGGAAGATCCCCTGAAGAAGGCCATGGCAACCCACTCCAGTATTCTTGCCTGGAGAATCCCCATGGGCAGAGGTGTCTGGCAGGCTACAGTCCATGATGTCACAAAGGGTCAGATCTGTTGAGTGAATAAGCACAGCACAATGCTAGTAATTTTAATCTCTGACTCCTGTGTGGAGTCTGCAAGTGATCACCACCCAGAAGGATGCTGATTCAATGGCCCCTTTAGTATCCACCAATGGTAAAGCCAGAAATTTCACTTCAGTCACAACATTTATTGAGAAATTACTGTATAACACTCTGGTCTGAGCTCAGGGATGTGAGACAAAACAAAATCCTACTCACATGTTTTAACTGAAGAGAATTTAATGGAAAGAATTTAATTTAATGAGGAGAATACTGGCAGTGTTAAATAAATCAGTCCAAGAATTTGAAGCATCTGGAGGCTAAGTTCATAAGACGATTTTCATACAAGTCCTGAAGTAGTCAACACAAGGGCCTCTGTCAGGGTTCTAGTGTCACGAGATCCAGGAAGAACGTGCCAGGCCACCTTTTCAACACACACCTCAGCAGGAATTTTCCTTGAAAAGATGCAGCCACCTTAACACTTCATTGTGAAACTGGGAGAAAATGAAAATGAAATTTGGATACTTTTTTCTTCCTCTCATCTCTGTTATGCTCCTAGTTTCTCCTGCTGGCCTAACTCAGATGGAAACTAGACACTTGAAGAGCTCTATTGATGGAATTTAAGGACTAAGCTCCAGGTAGGAAAAAAAATGAAAGAAAGAAAGAAAGAAAATAAAAAGACAAGCTGTATAGATGGTCTAGACTGACAAAGGAAGCATCAGCACATTTATATTATCTGTATATCCACGGTGTTCCCTTTGCTAGGTATTTATTACTACAACAATTTAAAATATAAAGAGCAATGTTCAGACTCAGTAAATAAGTAGTTCAAATGCAGAAAACGTTATCTGACCATCTGATGATTTTCCTATGTCATTCAGTCTTCTATCTGCATGAAAACTTAACTTCCCCAAGTCAAGTCTCAAAATATCAAGACATTTAGGCATAAGTTTAAAAAAAAAAAAATGAGTCCCATTAGTATACCATTTCAGATTTGATTCCCTGAAGATACTGGGGAGAGCCAAGAATCATGTCCTCAATGGGCTTAAGATTTAAAAAGAGTAAATCACTCATGATGATTTATAGTCTAGATAATTTTCTGTGAGAAATAATTGAACCCTAGGGTTCTGATCCCTCTGTGACAATTTTGGTATAAATTCCTCAACTTCTTCACATCTGTGCTGTCACTAGGAAATCACTCTTCTTTCACAGGTAGGACTAGGTATTGAACAGTTTGCTGTGCTGTGTGCTTAGTCACTCAGTCGTGTTTGACTTTTTGGAACCCCATCAATGGTAGCTCGCCAGACTTCTCTGTCCATGGGATTCTACAGGCAGGAATACTGGAGTGGGTTGCCATGGCCTCCTCCAAGGATCTTCCCAATCAAGTGATCAAACCCAGGTCTTCTGCATTGTAGGCAGATTCTTTACCATCTGAGCCACCGGGGAAGCCCACGAATACTGCAGTGGGTAGCCTATCCCTTCTTCGGGGGATCTTCTGGACCCTGCAATCAGAATGGGGTCTCCTGCATTGCAGGAATATTCTTTACCAGCTGAGCTAAATTCTATTTTTCTCATAGTACAAATATTTAAAAATATACCATGGAGTGGTTTCACAATGGAAAAAGAAATAGATCAAAGGCCACAAGACAGAGCCTCAGGTTGAGAGTGTCTGTCAAGAATATCAAGCTTTATAGTGCCCAGAGCCACTTCTGTCCACTTCTCTCTAAGTTTTCCTTGCTAAGTCAGTTATTCACATCAGGTGGCCAAAGTATTGGAGTTTCAGCTTCAGCATCAGTCTTTCCAATGAATGTTCATGACTGATTTCCTTTAGGATGGACTGGTTGGATCTCCTTGCAGTCCAAGGGACTCTCAAGAGTCTTCTCCAACACCACTGTTCAAAAGCATCATTTCTTAGGTGCTCAGCTTTCTTTATGGTCCAATTCTTACATCCATACATTACTACTGGAAAAACCACAGCTTGGACTAGACAGACCTTTGTCAGTAAAGTAATGTCTCTGTTTTTCAATATGCAATCTAGGATCATCATAGATTTTCTTCCAAGGAGATGGTCTCCTTTATCATGTACGAAAGTTGAGAAAAACACTTTATGATTTCTTACATACTGTCTCAGTTTTATAGATAATATGATTATTATTAACAGTGTGACATTTACAGAACTCAAATTGAACCCCTATCATACAGTTTATTCTTATTTTCGGAAAGAGTTAAAATGAGGTAAAGTTACAACAAAATTATTACAGTTTGGGGATGGGTCTGTCAATCACTTTTAAAAAGACTGTCTTCTCCTCAAAGGGACATTTTTAGCAAATAATTTTACCCAATTTATTCATTCTCTTAATATTTAATACCACTGATAAATGTGGATATATATAAAAATAATCATATATTGTTTAGGTACTGTATTTTTCCCTGTTGTTTATACAAAAACACTGGTTTAATTTTGAGTCCCATAAGCCAATTATTGCCCTAAATAATTGGCTGAAATATACAAAGCTAAGGATAGCCTGGGATATCTTACTGAAGTAAGATTTGGTCATGTTAGGGTCATCTGAGGGTCACCTGAGGTAGGCAAGGGTGGATAAAATGAACATGCAACACAGGATGAGGGACTACCTAGAAAATAACCTTCTGATTAGAGTGGCAGGTAGATAGACACTGGTACTATAAAGATCTATCTGTTCCATTTCCCTAAATCATCCACTTGTGGGGGAAAAACAATGAATTTCCATTGCTGACACTTTAGACACCACATCAAAATTATTCTGAAAAAAAGAATCATAGTTTTAAAGAAAAGCAATATTTAAAGGGAGTGTAAGTGACCAATTCATAATAATGATTTGTAGAAAACATCTAAGTTTCTCAACTATGAAAAGACTTGCAGAAAAACATTTGAAACTATGTAAATGTGTTCTATTTTAAATTAAATACTGAAGCATCTAGTACAGGATTTCTAGGTTATTTCTGGATATTTAAAGACAAATTTGATGAGGAACATTTTTAAAGACTACTGAATTTCTTATAGTATTGTTTCTGCTTTATGTTTTATTTTGTTTTGCTTTGGCCACTAGACTCGTGGGATCATAGCTTCCTAAAAGGTGATCAAATCTTTGTTCCCTGCCTTGCAAAGTGAAGTTTTAACCAGTGGATCACCTGGAAAGTCCCCTATATAACTTCTTCATGTCACATGTATTTAGAAGTTTAAAAGAAGTAGGCATTGATGAAATGAAGTTACTAATGGAAAATGATAAAAAAAACAGATGCATTTTTATTTCATTTATTTTAGACTTCATTGGAAGCTGAGCAAACACAATGTTAAAGGAAAACTACACGGAAGTGACTGAGTTTATTCTCCTGGGACTGACAGATCGAGCTGACTTGCAGCCTGTCCTTTTTGTGGTCTTCCTAGTCATCTACCTGATCACAGTTATTGGCAATATGAGCATGATTTTATTAATCAGAACTGACTCGAAGCTTCAGACTCCAATGTACTTCTTCCTCAGCCACCTCTCCTTTGTAGATCTCTGTTATGCTACCAATGTCACTCCTCAGATGCTGGTCAATCTCCTATCCAAGAGAAAAACCATTTCCTTCCTTGGTTGCTTTACACAGTTTGACTTTTTCATTTCCTTGGGGCTCACAGATAGCTATATGCTCACAGCAATGGCTTATGACCGCTACATGGCCATCTGCAAACCCTTGTTATATGGCAACAAAATGTCCCGAGGTGTCTGCCTCTCTCTCGTTGCTACATCTTATATTTATGGCTTTGCAAATGGTCTTGCACAGACCATCCTGATGCTCCGCCTCACCTTCTGTGGACCCAATGAAATCAACCACTTTTACTGTGCAGACCCACCGCTCTTAGTCCTAGCCTGCTCAGATACTTATGCCAATGAAACTGCCATGTTTGTGGTGGCTGGTTCCAACCTCATATTTTCTCTCACCATCATCCTCATCTCTTACATTGTCATCTTTACAGCCATTCTGCAAGTGCGTTCTCTGGAAGGGAGGCACAAGGCCTTCTCCACCTGTGGGTCTCATCTGACAGTTGTTACTATGTTTTATGGGACACTGTTCTGGATGTATCTGAGACCACCTTCTGAGGCATCTGTAGAACAGGGCAAAATTGCAGCTGTTTTTTATATCTTTCTGAGTCCTATGCTAAACCCTTTGATCTACAGCCTTCGGAACAAAGATGTTAAAAGAGCAATAAGGAGAGTTATTCAAGAGAAATTTTCTGTCAAATTAGGTACACATTTGGCCAGAGGTCTGTAATATATTTGTATTCTCTGACTGATTAGAGAGAATTTTAAATTAATGAGTCACTTTTTGTCATTGACTTATTCTTTTCCCTTTGCAATTCACTTATGAAATGTGGAAGAATCTGTCAGATCATTAGCTTGTGCCATTTCAGTGTATTTAAAATGTATACCACATGGAAATTCAATGACAAGACCAAACAGCATTGTTGTTGTTGTTTTTTTTTTTGTATTAGTAAAGGACAGATAATTCTGTGCACAGTATTCATAAAGGTAGAAAGTTATAAAAGACAGAATTACCAATGATGCTATGACAATGCCAACTTGTTTGATTTGAGGGGTTTAAAAATTTCCAAATTATTTTCCAAAACTTGTCAATCTTGTAAGGAGGAAAGTTTTTTGCTTATTTGGTTGGTTTTTTCCTTTGTTCACATTATATATCCAAGAAGATTTTTGGGTATCTTAAATTATTACTCTAAGAACTATATTTAGATATTAGTACTGGTCTAACAGAATCCTCATTGATTAAATGTTTGACAGAAATGCCAAATTTCCTTTAGAATTTTTTTTTAATATTTCTTTCGATTTTTTTTACCAGTATACCTCTGGCATTAACTTATATTGGCTTTCACTTTTTTTTTTTTGTATGCATTGTTAACAGCTCACAGACAAAAATAGTGAGTAATATAAAGAGCACTTTTCGAAGTATACCTAATCATCATTAAGTTTTCACACAAGGACACTTTGTTTCAAATTTGCACAAATCTCCATGTCATAGACCTGACTGCTCAACCTTTGCCATCTCCCCCTGGGACATACAAGTTGGGGAAGCTCATGATGCTGGAAAACTCTTCAGAAGAGAGGGGACTTGAGCAGAACTTGGTTCTGTTAGGTCAATCTAGTTCTTTTTTTTTTTTAAACTGATTTGTAATTTTAAGTTTCAGGTATACAACATTTGAAAGTCACTCAGTCGTGTCTGACTCTTTGTGATCCCATGAACTGTAGCCTGCCAGGCTCCTCTGTCCATGGGAATTCTCCAGGCAAGAATACTCAAGTGATTCACATGCCCCTTTCTAGGGGATCTTCCAAACTCAGGGATCGAACCCAGGTCTCCTGCATTGTGAGTAGATTCTTTAGGGAAGCCTGGTGTTCAGCATAGTGATTTGCAATTTTTAGAACTGTTAAAGAGGCTTCTCCAGTGGCTCAATGGTAAAGGATCTGTGCAGTGCAGGCGACTCACAAAATACAGGTTTCAGAACTGGATTGGGAAGATCCACTGGCAGAGGAAATGTTTAAAAAGCAGTAAGAAGATCAATTCAAGATAAATTATTTGCCAAATAGCATAGACATTTTGGTCACAGGTATGTAACATATCTGTATTCGCTGATCAATCAGTGAGCACTTTAAATTAACAAATCATTCTGGCTATTGACTGTTCTTTTCCTTTTATAAATCACCTATGAGACTTAGAAGAATGTTATCAAAAAAAAAGAATAATGTTATCAAATTGTTAGTTTTGTCAGTATATTAAAATAGCACCACACATATATTAAGACACAAGACCAAACAGCAGTGTCATTGCTCTATAAACTTAGCAAAAGACAGAGTATTCTATCTACATTACACATAGTCACCAAACATATGAACTTGTTTGTTGGATTGTTTATTTTGTATTTTTTATTCAAATTATATAGGAATGAAGATCTTTAAGAATCTCAGGTTATTGCTCCAAGATATATCTTTAGATATTAGTACTGGTCCAATAGAATCCCCATTCATAAGATTTTTGATGTAAATCCTAAATATCCTAGAGAATATTTTATTATTTCTTTTAAGTGTTTAAAGCTATTTATTTCCCTATTATAAAACTAGTTCTGAGGTTTCATTTTGTTGTTGTTGCTATGAATTATTTTTAGTACACATCCAAAATATAAGCCAACACAAAGGCTACCAGTGTCAGGATAACTGCAATCAATATAACACACAATGCCACATTTTTCATTTTTGAAATGTTTATTTTATCTTGGAGCATAATTGATTAACAACATTGTGTTAGTGTCAGGTGTACAACAAAGTGACTGAGTCATACCTACACATGCATCTATATTTTTCAAATTGTTTTCCCATTTAGATTATAATAGAATATTGAACAGCCTGTGCTATAACAGCAGGTTCTTTTATTTCACTGTTTTAGAAACTCAGATCCTGCACCTCTGCACATCATGGACACTAGTGCTCATCTCTGGCCTCTCCTCCTGAGTCATATCTGGGGAAAAGACCATGACACTGAAACATGCTTAGAAGAGATGGGAACTGAGCAGAGCAGGGTCCTATCAAATCTGTCTAGTGAATTTTCTTTTATCAGATCTTCAGTGTCCTTACAGATGTTTGCATCTTCATACATGGCAATGGAGAAAGATGATGTGGATTTGCCTGTTTTCTTTTGTAGTTTTCAAAACTATTGAGACTATATTATTAGATCTTATCAAGTACTGAACTAGTATTATTCTTTTATCATTTATACTTTCTATCCCTTCTATGATGTATAAAGTCTAAAAGTGTGATTTGTCTGATATTCACATATACTTGGCTGTTTTATTCGTTTGTTTTTAGTTGGTTATGTCTACTATGTTTATTTCGCCTTTTTCATTTTCAGGCTTGGAGTCCTTTTGATCACTATTTCTTATTTTATTGTGTATATTGACACTTTTGAATATTTCTGACAACTTAGTTTGTGCTTTTCACAAACTTCTTTATGCTTTTTCTCCTCTTTACTTACTGTGAATTAAATCATATTTTGTAATTTTCCTTCCTTTTTAATCCTTGTTCGACTATGACACATTCTATTTTTTATTATTAATAAGTTCCCTTAAATTGCGTATGCATACTTGTCTTACTTAGTCTTCATTAATCAGTACATCTACTTTGCTATTAAACAATAAAAGGAACATACAACATTTTAATAATGAATTCATCCTGCTTCTAACTAGGTATAGAATAAATCATTAATAGTAAATTAATAAATATTAATGAACTTTAAATATTATCTATATTGTATATGATTACAGTTATAATTATATTAAATAGTGATTCAATGTTTGTGTTCCTTTAATTTTCATGACATTTATTGATTTTTCTCTCACTGTTATATGGCACCCACTCTTCATTTCTGGTTTAGTTTTCTCCTGTGTGATATATATCCTTAAGCACTTCTTTCAGTGAGAGTCCCTCTCTATCCACTTATCTGATAATATCACTTGTCCATTCTCAAAGGAGAATTTATTTGGATATGAATGTAGAAAAACAGATACTTGCTTTCAGTATTTAAAATATCTTATATTCTGGCTTCTTCTTCCTTGGCTATGCAGATGGATATATTACCATATTATTTGTTATTTCTCTGTGTGTAAGATACTTTTTCATTTTCTAATATTCAGTTTCAGTGTTTGTTGGGACTTAGTTATATTTATGCTTTTGTATTTTCAGTGCCTCTTTGCTGATCTCTTGAAGTCATATCCTTTTAGGATATATTATCACAATATCATACAACTTTAATTCATAGAAATTTTCAAACTGCATTTTAACATTATCCCTGTGACTGACTCATGATTATATTATCCCCAGTATTCTCAGTGTCATGGGGGCCAGGTCTCAGGTCCTTGTCTAGCTTTGCTCACTAATTTAAAGTCAGAATAGAGATATTCTGAATAAATATCACCTGAGTTAATAAACTATCACTATGACCTTTGCATTATAGTTCTTTGAGTAGTGAAAGATCTACTCCCTTCCACTTTCCAACATAATTTTTATTCAATCTAAATTATTTAGAATCTGACTGTAGAGTTTCTATGCCTCATGCCTCCTACCATGAAACAGAAACAACTGAAGGACAAAAACCATCTTTATCTTTTTCTTACACTCTCTCCATTGACCGCACAGTGGCAAACAGAAGATTTTCTCTGAGTATTTGACAACTATGTGGGTGGATGAATGAATGGATTAATTGATAAGTGAATGCCTTTAAACCCAGAGAATCTGCAGCATTGTGTGCATGTGCCACATTTCTTTTCTAAGCAATATGATATCGAAGACTAATAATCTGTTTGATCCCAGCCTCACAATGTATTAACTGTAGGTTCCAGGGAAAGTTAATTAACCTCTACTTGTTTCAGTCTCTTATCTGTAAAATGAAGGTACTAATACTAAGAACCTACACCATTTGTAAGTTTAACTAAGCCAATGCTTGTGTAGCTGTTAAGCCTAAGGCTGGCACATATTGATTACTCAGTGCCTGTTATCTATAACTAATTACTCCCATCGTGTTTTCTTTCCTGTGACCTTTAAACAAGTTTGTCATTATCCCAAATCCTCTCTCTGTAGACTTTCAGTTTGAGGGCTGAGATTATGCATTCAATGAAATGCAGGTTTACCTCAGAGAGGGAAAACTAAGAGCAGTTTTACAGTCCTCAATAACTACACATTGCACACTCCTTGAATTATTTAGGACATATTGGTTCATAATTGTTATCTCCAGGGACTGTGCTAGCTATGGAAATGACACCTCTGCTCACAAAGATTTGAATTCTAGCAATGACACTAGAAATATAAGTAAGTAATGAAAGCAGAGTGTGTTAGTCAAGGGTAGAGCAG